GGTTAGCCCTGCCAACCGTGACCTCGCATTGTCGGCCCATGTTCATCTTGGAGTCATTAATAATTCCAAGATCCCTTTCTGCCTCCGTGCTCTCAAGAAGGGAGTTTCCCATCTTATAAGTGTGCTGCTGGTTACTACTGCCCAAGTGCAGCACCCTGCACTTGTCCATATTGAAACGCATCCTGTTCCTGTTAGCCCACCCCTGTAACCTATCCAGATCTTGCCGCAGTCTTTCCCTCCCTTCTAGTGTGCTCACCTCACCCCAAAGTTTGGCATCATCAGCAAATTTAAACAGGTTGCTTTTCACCCCATCATCCAAATCACTGATAAAGAAATTGAGCAGCGCGGGCCCAAGGACCGAGCCCTGGGGGACTCTGCTGCCCACTTCTCCCCAGGTCGACGATGACCTGTCCACCACCACCCTCTGAGTGCGACCCTTGAGCCAATCTGCAATCCGTCTGACTGTGTAGGCATCAATGCCACAGTCGCCCAATTTTTTAATGAGGATGGGGTGGGAGACGGTGTCAAAGGCCTTGCTGAAGTCCAGAAAGACTACATTCACGGCGACATCTGCATCCAATGCTTTTGTGACCTGCATGTGCCCCCCGATGGCTGATACTGATGCTGTCGGCAGGGCTGGTGCCCCCCCTGACAGGGCCACTGTCAGCGCCAGCACCTTCTGTGGGTGCCCCCCAGATTCAGGAGACACCAGTCACTCATGCTCAACTTCGTGATTAAGCAAGAGCTTGCTCTTGCCTTATAAATGGGCCTGTTTCAACCTATGTCCCCAACCACAGACAGAGCTGGACAAATAATAATAACATTTGTCACATAGTATAGTGAGACACTGACTCAGCTATTTTTATGAGTTAAATAAAACACTAGGTGGGAATGAATCAGTGCCATTGCCTGCTGAAGACAAAAGGGCTCACCTCTGAAAGAACTCTGTCCAGTCTAGCTGCTAGCTTTCCAATCTCATACAAAATCTGAGGATTGGTAGGGCACTTTGCCAGAGGTGTGCCAGGTAGGTAGGTCAGCAGTCTCACCATATACTTTTTTGTCAGGGACCCAGTACCTAATAAGCAAAAGAGATACATTGTAAATGCATTCCACCAAAGATTATGGGGTACAAGAGTGAGAAAGGCTTCACAGATTGTGGAAGAAGTCAGATGCAGCTGTTAAAACTGACAAATCACAGTAGAGGGTCACATTAGGAAACTGCCTAGCTCAGCACACATGGTTTGTAAATGAAACTCCTTGATCATACCTTTGTGACTGACATTACACACAAAGAGGTTCATTCATTCAACAGCTAAGTGATTCCTCCCAGAGAGTCAATGGGCCCAAAGAAAACTCAGGTTTAAATCATGATTTTCTGTAGCAAAGTGACAGATCCTAATTGCCCTATGCAAACCATAGCACGGGGACCAGATTCAAATGCAATATTTCCCACCTCCCAACTCATAGGCAACTGGTAGGGGGTGCATGTGCCCCCCTGATGGCTGATACTGATGGTGTTGGCAGGGCTGGTGCCCCCCCCCCAACAGGGCCACCGTCAGCGCCAGCACCTTCTGTGGGTGCCCCCCAGATTCAGGAGACACCAGTCACTCATGCCCAACTTAGTGGTTAAGCAAGAGCTTGCTCTTGCCTTATAAATGGACCTGTTTCAACCTATGTCCCCAACCACAGACAGAGTTGGACAAATAATATGTAATATTACTGATTTAATATTGCTGCTTTTTTATGATTTACCTATGAAAAGAGCAACATTTTATTTAATTCCTAGTTTATTTGCTAAACATTTTTTGTTAATTCCTGCTCTTGTCAGCTGATTTGGGGACAGTTTATTTGATATTTGAGTTGTGCTTGAACACAGAGGTCACATGGCAGGATTCTTCTCCTGGAGTTGATGAAGATAGTTCTCAGGCCCAGATTTTTAGTACTGCACACTACCAATTATGAATTCCCAATTCCTATGCAGCAAATTCCTTCTCTGCAATATTTAAGTTGCTGTTTCACTTATCAGAATAGTTACAGAAAGTGAATGCATAACATGATCAAAATAATTAAATGGAAATTAGAGCTGACATGTGCACAAGTTCTAAGGAATTTATTCTTCATTACTGAACCAGGCCACAATCCAGCTACAGTATTTTAATGTACATATCTGCAACCATGTCACATGTTTCATGCCTCCCCATAAAAGTCTTGCAATAGTGCATAAGAGTTGCCTATGCTGTTGCAAATGCATTTGTGTTGAACCAATTTGTCATGGTTCAACACAACCATGTTGAACTACTACCATTTTTGCACTAAGTAACTCAGTGGCAGCTTGTTGTGGCATGAGCATGATGAAACAATGGAAAGTAGGGTGGTGGTATATGTAAAAGTTCTTGCTGTCTCTCACCTATTGATTCTAGAGACATGATGTTACCATCTTTAGTCAGATGGGGCACAGCTGAAGGAAACCCTTCAGCATTCAGAAATATCATGATCCGCGTCTGCACTTCAATGAGTTCAGGATTCTGGCTGTCTTCAGAGTTGATTATTTTGAGGACATAATCATCGGCACAATCTTCTATTCCTTCCTTCCTTGTAACACGCACATGAAAATTCTGATCATCATAGCTGGGGAGTGCTCTGATCTCTGACACTTTTAATCCAAATACCCTCTCAGTCAATTCAATGGCCTCCTTTTCATGGAGTGCTGGTTTAGTGAGTGTCTGAAGTTGCTTGTTGTCTCCAGAAGACATTGTGTGCTCAGATGAGAAAGAAGAGTGAAAGATCTTGTTGGTATTCTGTCTCTCAATACTGTACAAGTAGCAGTTAGTATGACAAAACATCTAAATATAGCAAAAAGACTTTTCATAGAAGACTTCAAACACTTACTAGCTGGAAAAGAAGCTGTCTAGGATGAGTGAAATTTAAACCATTTGGGATTTCTCATTCTCCCTTTCTTCCCCAGTTCCTTGTTTCTAAGCCCACTATTTCCTTTGTTGCTTTTCCCCCAGTAAATTTAGGATTTTACTAAGAAATAAAACATACAAGAACTAAGCAGCTTATTGGAAGTTAGCTAATAAAGTTCATAAGCATAATATATAAAATAGCACCATGCAACAAAAAGATACCAGGCACACTAGTAACTTACCAATAATTTTCTACAGAAGAGAAGGATTAAGAGCTGACACGATGCTCCTATGTCAAATCCAAAGATAAAATAAGCCTGCAGCAGATATCTATTATTAAAAATAATTATGGGCTTTCTGCCGGCTGTTGTAGTTCAACAGTCCAATGATTATTTAATATTTGAAAATTCCAATCAAGTGTTCAGTTCCCCCAAAGCCCCCCCACCCCTTTCTTTCTAACACTCGACATCATTATCCTTTTGGTTGTTGAAAGTCCATGCTTCTCTGCATGAACTGCAAGCCATGATAATAAACCTTGGACTCTTGAAGCAGCACTAACCTTTGTACTGTCCATGTGGATCAAAGGAAGAATAGAAAAGTGCATGTCTGTCTAAAGGGACCATCTCACAATCACAAAATTATGCTCCCAGGGCTCAGTAACCATCTACTAGAAGCCCAGTCGTGATATGAAATAGCTTGATTTGGGGCCAAGTATTGTTTTAACTGCCACAGTTTTGGACTCCCCAAAGCAGTGTACCTAGGCTCTAGACTCCCTTATATTTGCCCCTGCTATTTATTGCCTAAACTCTTTCTGACTACATCTTTTAAACCGCTTGATTCTTTCAGTTTTCCTGCAGGAAATCCTTTACCATTGGCAGGAAGGAAGGCAGTTTTCACAGCAGCTAAGAGAAAGTTGCTAACACTTGGCTAAGAACACGCACTGTGTTAGGACACTGCTTTCATGAGAGTTACTAGGAAGTAAAACATTAATTTAAAAAAATTTAGCTGCAGAGGCCACCCTGTGTCCTGGAGTAGAAGTAGGACTGCTTCTTACATGAGGTTTTCCAACTCAGCTGCACTGGAGTTTTTCTATATCAAGGCAATTTGCCCTTGTGTGCCTGCACTGGTGTAATTACACCAGTAGAAACCTCTACTCTAAGTACAGTGCCAAGCAGCTTTTCTCCAGGCAACCACTGTGTTAGAAAACAAAAGCTATTGGGGGGGGAGGACTAGAAATGCAGTGGGAATTAGATCACCCAAAGGACATCTTTTTTCTTTTTGGTAACAGAGAGACAAGAGTCTCTAAAACGTTATGTGCTGTTTTCCTGTCGGCTTTTTCTTTCACGGTTCGTTAAATGTGATCCTGGACAAAACGGCACAGATGAAGAGCAGAGAGACAAGCCAATTACAAGGGCGGTGGGTTTTTTAAGCATCTCGGCTGATTCTCCCGTGGCCTGCAGCACGACAAGGCTCTGCCGCTGGGACCGACACTTGATCCCGACTAAGCAGACAGGAAAGCACGTCTGAAACCCGCACCTGCCCCCGCCGCTGACTTTACAAACCACTTCGGAGCCAGGCTGCGCTGCCGGGACGCCCCGCCCGCGGGCCGAATCCGCTCCGCGGCTGAAGGACGCGCCGCGACCCCGCCGCCGCCCCCTGCAGCGCCGGAGCCAGACGAGCTCCCGCCTCGCGCGAGACGCCGCCGTGGGAGCCCCGCCTGGGGGCGGCACCTTCCCCCACCCCTCGCTGCCCGTGAACCAGGATGACAGCGCGGTACCCGAGAGAGAAATGATAAGGCATTTATTAAAATCAATATTAAATGTTGAATCTGATTTATACAGTTGTCCAGTGGGTTTTCAAGATGTAATAGTAATGTGCATTTGCCTTCCTGCGGTAAAGTCATGAATATCATTACAGCATGCGATGAAACCTCCTGGAATAGAGTCACAGAGAGTTGGCAGCTGCAGACTACACAGCTAACTACCCCCGTCTGCCCTGGAGGCCAGGAAATACACACCTTCTTCAGTAACAGGCTAGGTAAAAGGGAGTTGCAAATCTTTGCTATTTCCTTAGCAATCTTTCATCCGCTGGGTACACTCACCACATGGGACATATATTTTATTAATAAACAGCACTTGACAGTAATCCTGAGCGTAGCTGAGACTCAAGTTTCTAAAATCAGTCAGGCAGAACACTCAATATTTTGCTGAGTAACAGTAACCGCAACTAGCTGAAAGGGTGGCAAAATAATCTAGCCATGCTGCTGCAGTGCGATAAGCAAGATTACAGGGAACATTTTCTTTTTCTCATTATGTAAATTAGAATCTCTACAAATAATATATCCTCACTAGATTCAATACAGCATTAGCAAGTACAAAGAAAAGTGACATAATCCAACTTGAAAACTACAGAAGCTATTTCATTAGGTGAAGTCCCTTTCATATTCCAAGAAATTTAATTGCCAGGGCAACCTTGTTTTCAATACAAATGGAACAGACAGGCATATATTCAGCTGACATTTAAGGAAAAAAAAATAAGGAAAGGCATTGCTTAATAGTTAATATCCTACACTAAGTTTAATATTGCAAGCAGGCATTCATTTTGTAAATTTGTAAGCATCACCAAAGTACATTGTTTTCTTTAACTTCCTATTGTCTACTCTGTTTTAGCTAATAAAATTTACAAATTACCAGGTTGAACTTTAGCTAACCTAACTTTAGCATTAAAGAATCATTAAGAACTTAGAATAGGAGTTGGTTAAAGTAATTTAACCAAACAGATCAGTTTGTTTAGTGTCACACAGGTATGGGGGGAGGTGGGAACCCATACATAGCTTTCTATGGAAGGAGGGCAGGGGGAATTACATATGGATGAGCTTTTCACGTATTTACTGGTTCCCTTAGGAACAGTTAAAATCTATGCTAATTCCTTATGAACAAGAACATAATTTAGAAGCCCCAGAGACAGTGCTTTGAAATCTGTAATATCGGAGGAATTTCCTATGTCCGGGATGCCTCCTAAAGCACAAGTGTTCAAATTCAAAGTACACATCTTGTCCAATTAAAGTAACAAAGACTAATCAGATGCATCTCTAGATTTAGGTTTTGTAAAAAGAAAACCTAACCTTTTTCAAGGTGTTTTTCAAGTAACTAACTCTCTCGCCCCAAGAGGCATAATCAGTTATTCACTCCTGCTTTTGAAATGCCCATGAAAAATGTTCTAAAAAGAAGTTTCTGCAATGTTTGCAATCTCAGCACTGCAGCACTGCTAGCTTGTGAGCAACTTAAGCACTGTGTGTGGAGCTTCAGAAAGCCTGGACTCCTTGGAGTTTTTGGGCCAGGGGAATGGTGGTCAGCCTCACCCACAATGGCATGTGAATCAAACCCAGGGGACTCCCCATGGGTTCAGAAATGTAGTAGTGGAGTAGTGGCACCACTCCCCTGCTGCCAAATTTCTGGACCACAGGAAACCCCAGTCTGCACATGGCCCTACACATTAGGTTGCACCAGTGTGGGGGGTCAGGCAGGAATGTGGTCATGAGTGACTGGTGCCACCTTAGTGGGGGGGCACATGCCCCCCCCCCCAGCCCATTTTACCAACCAGAAAGTGGAAGTGGCCGCAGCGCTTCACCCAGGTGCTCCCACTTCCTGGCTAGTGCTAGCAGGGAGGGCACCAAAACGCCCGCCTGCCCCCCCTGCCCATCGCCTAAGTGGGGAGCATGGCCTGTCAGGGGTCACACCAGCGCTCTCAGGGTGCATGTGCACCTCCATGCACCCCCTACGTGTCACCACTGGATGTGGTGTTGCTCTGCAGCTGGATCTGGCACACAGGGCTGGATCACAACAGACCAACCTTGCTGTGAGCAGCCTGCAGACTGGCTCTATACCATTTGCCTGGCTTATGGGGCCAGAAGGTTGAGTACCCCATGGCTAGGGTAAGAAACTACATACAGCTGATATGCTGGAAGGAGGAGACATTTTTCATGGGATGTTTTACCTGGGGCTCCCACAAAAAGTGGAATCAGGATCACATGAAATCAAACACATGGATGTTCTCCCCTTCTATATAATGATTTACATTTTAAAGAAACCTTACTGAGGGTGCAGGAACAAACCATCCCAATGTGCAAGAAGAATAGCAAATGTGGCAAGCAACCAGCTTGGCTTAGCAGAGAACTCTTTGGTGAGCTTAAACACAAAAAGGAAGCTTACAAGTGGAAGTTTGAACAAACTAGGGAGGAGTATAAGAATATTGCTCAGGTGTTTAGAGATGAAGTCAGGAAATTGGAGCTGCAGCTAGCAAGGGATGTGAAGGGTAATAAAAGAAGCATTTCTACAAGTATGTTTGCAACAACAAGGTGGTCAGGGAAAGTGTGTCCCTTACTGAATGGGGGAGGCAACCTAGTGACAGATGATTAGGAAAAGGCTGAAGTGCTCTATGTAGGGTGGTCAGTGGCAATGCACAGGGGTGCACATGCATCTCGAGAGCACTGGTGCACCCCCGACAGGCCATGTTCCTTGCTTAGGCAACGGACGGGGGGGCAGGCAGGAGCACCGGTGCCCCCTCTGTGAGCATTGGCTGGGGAGTGGGAGGGCCATTACCGCTTCCTGGCTGACACGTTCAGCCGTGAGGGACCCCCAATCAGTGAGACTGGCCAGTTGCCCTGAGGGTGGCCATCATAAAGGGCAGTCTGCTTGTCCTCTGTTGATAAAAAACTGGACATCTTTATGTCCTCTATTTTTCTCTTGAAGAGAGGCATATCAATAGAGGCGGCCAGATGCTGAGTCGTGCAGGGGAGGGGGAGGTGGGGACGGTGTGCAGGCAGGCAGGGAGGGGAAGCTCACCAGGCTGGAGTGTGGCAGCAGTAGCTGCCGCATGCAAAACTTCCCCACCGTGCAGAGGGGTGCCGCTGCCCTCGCCCCACCCCAGCCCTGCTCCTGGGAGGCAGCTCCCCGCATGTACCCCCTAAAACCGGTCCACAAACCCCCAGCTGACAACCCCTGATCTACAGAATGTGGCACGTTGAGTCAGAGAAAGCTAAAGCGGATGGGTTTGGGACCAACCTCTCAAGAGAAAAAGGCATTTTAAATGCACTATTGCAATTTCTTCAGGGGGAAAAATGATGCATACATGAAATGTGATACAGTTTTCTTTATTAAAAATAATTTACAGCATCAGTAACATTTTATGCTCATTTGCCAACAACTGAACTGCCTCTTAATATCTCTATACAATACATAACATACTAAATTTAAAACATACTGTTTTGTTGGCTTTAAACAGCGGACACTGATTTGTAGTTGCTTAAATAGGATTAATATACATGTTGCTGTATATGTCCTTATACTTACGTGTAAAATTTATAAACAATCAACACTATCCCAAAGTTCTGGGGAAAAACATTTAGAAAAATTTGAATAAGATTCTTTCCCAAATCAAATCAGAGAGAATTTCAAGTTAAATACGCCTACCACAGCAAGTGACTTTAATTGCCCTCCTATGCTTTAAAATACAGAAGATTAGTCCCCAATCCTCCAAATGGCCTGTATCTTGCCCTTTCTGCAAGACAGATGTCACTGCGTAGGCCTTTCCCATTTCAAACTAGTGAGATCCCAGTAGTGTGATCAAAGTTAAATGCGTCTCCTGTGTTGCTGTGTTACTGAGGGAGGGGTTGTATGATGCCTATGAGCATACCTGTATTTGGGGTGGAGGGGAACACTCAGAAATAGTCAAACTGGTTCTTTTTGTAGCAAATTCCTAACCTGCGAAAAGCAAAACACTTGGGTACATTGTGTTGTTTCTCTAAGCATCACCATGCTTCAGAGTCATGAACATGGACAGCCAGATTCAAAGCCAACTAAGGTCAATGAAAAGATCCCCACCAACTTCCGTAGGCTTTGGATCAGACGTAAGGTAACAGCAATGGCAAGTTTCTAAATTCTAAAAAAATGAAGCTGTGTTCAAGTATTCTTTCACTGATTTTAAGGCATAAGAACAGCAGAATTAAAAGTAATAACTACAAGAGTGAAATCAGCATGCCCCTTATCAGAGCCAAGTGGTTTTAATATTGAAATAAAACATCCGTGGGTTGGTAAGTGCTGTCCCTTCAAGCTGTACTTAATCTCACAATACTGATTTACTTTGTATGTGGCTTGGACCACTTCTCTGATTACTTCTGAAGCAACAAGTGTTTTATTGCAAGAGAGGGTGGGAGGATGTGCTCCACTCAAGCAATGGCAGTTATACTAGAGAGATGGTTAAACTAAGTTCTTTGGTGCCAAGTATCAGGATTTCCATTTACAGTAAGTCTGCATGAGGCAGCATGACTGATTAGCATGAAGAAATCCCATTTGCTTCCCAATAACCACACGCGCGCATGCGCGCGTGCACACTCTCTCTCTCTCTCTCTCCAATAGAGAGCACACTGCTCAGCTAGAAAGAGTGAGATTAAGACAGGCCTGTTTTTATACAATAGACAAGATGCGTTTCTCAGAAAGACAGCCAGGACAGAAAACATCTTTGAACACTTTGAACTCAGCAGCTGTACCATTGAGGAGATTTTATATTAAATCAATGCTTTTCAAACACTATCCAGAAGCAGTTGTTGGACTAGCACTTGAATAGCTTTTACCTCTGCTAAAAAAGAAAGCAAGCACAGTGGGTGAAGTGCACAGATTACACAGGATGTTGAGTTTTACAGAAAGGCTCTTCTTTTTTATGATGCATGATGATGCAAAAAAACACTTAAATGCCAAAAAACAGTGGTACAGAATGAAGCAATCAAGGCATTCAAATTCCTGCTTGAAAGCTATATTCTGAACTCCCAATGTGATGAAAATCAATCATTAAAATTCTATAACGTTTGCACCATTTTTCAGGACTCTGTTAAAAGTATAAAATTTTAAAAGATTTTTTGCATTACAATTTCCATTTCAAAACTCTGAAGGTTATTTTATGCCTTTTTATGCAAAATATCGCAAGAGTCTATTGCCTGAGTATGAGTTCATAGTTTGTTTTAAAAATGCAACCTCTCATCTGTGCAATGAAGCTGCAGAAGATCTCTTAAAGCAGGGGTGGGCAAAATGCGGCCCGGGGGCTGGATGCGGCCCACCAGGCCATTCTATCTGGCCCACGGGGCCCCTAAAAAATTTAGAAAATTAACATTAATCTGCCCTGAGCTGCCTGTCATGCAGCCCTCAGTGGCTTGCCAAAACTTAGTAAGCGACCTTCTGCCCAAAATAATTGCCCGCCCCCATCTTAAAGAGTTTGATATCACGGACACAGTTAATAATAGAAATCCTGGAAAGTACAAATAAATAATTTACAGGGCACGTGAGTGGACTAGCTAATATTTAAATGGCCACCTTAATTCTCTCTCAAATGGAATGAAAAACTCATAACCAGGTAGTTACAAACCAAATTTTAGACTTGAAGTTTTAAGTTATAAGAACAAAGATATCTGAAACTATTAAGGATTTTGTAATAACTTGGATAAATTAAAAAGCAGTCTTTTTATATTTTCTTCAAGTGTAAATACAGAACATGTTCCTGTGTTGAGACCATATATCTCCAGTTGTAAAATAATGGAAAATAGGGTTATCATGAAAGTGCTGATATGACCAAGACTATAGCAGTTCAAATGGCAATGTTGTAACAGCCAGTTTTGGTAAGCACAGTTCTGGCATTTGTTTAGAAGAACAAAATTTTAAGGACACATCAAAAGGCAGTATGGCTCCTTCAGCCAAGTAATGTTTTACAATGTAATTTAAGCTGAAGCATATAGCAACTGTAGGCCATACTTTAAGCAAACAGAAGAAAACCTAAAAGGCCAGTAAATTTTAAGGGGTTCTCACAACTCAGCTCTTCAGTTAATTTTGTGGGGGAGTATTTTGGTTAATGACACTGCAAACAGCAAACACATAATAGCCAGTATTATAGAAAGAGAACCACTAAACTGCTTCAGAGGTGGCCAAACTGCCCAGCTGATATAGTAACTTGCCAAAAAAGCTGGAGAGCTGCATCTAGTTTGCATTAAAGAATTTATTGCAGCTATTCCAATTTTCCAATACAGATATGTGGCCCATGGAGATTTCTCATCTCCAGGATACAATATTACATGTTACTCCAAGCAGTGTTATATCTGCACATAGCTAGTGCCTGCCATCTCCAGAATGAAGGCAAAGGAAGCCATGGTATAGGCAACAAGACTCTGTGGGACTCCCACAGACCCTTTAAGTCAACCCACAATTTAAATAATAACATTCAAACCTGGAAATCTGTTTCAGAGCTGGATTCTTAGCTTCCACAATACCAAAAACCCAGTTTAAACCAACAGACAGCAGTATACAGATTTACCGGTGCAGAACTAAAAGGAAAACACCTACAGAAAGTCTTCTTGCATAATAATGTTCAGCACAATTCAGTTTCAGATTTCACATAGTTTATTTACAAAATGGTCTGATAAAACATTCCCTCGCCCCATACTTACAGCTCTCTGCCACAACACACGTATGTCGATTTTAGCAATGTTTAATAGCACCATTCGTATATTATTTAAAATCAGGAAGGATCTGGTTGCAGTTACAATGATTCACAATCTTTTAACATCCATGGACGAAGTAACTTTGAGCACACTAGGACTGTTTGCAGTTCCACGGTATGGATTCCTGGGGTCACACAAGGCATTTTCAGAATAACCAGTTATGCAAGGTATCCATATAGTCAGTATCTACTACAAGAATCTTCGAGCCACGTAGTTTAGAATTCCACCATGTTTGTATAATGTTATTTCCACATCATTCTCAAACAAGGCAATCACGCTGAATGCTTTTCCAGTGTTTGTCTTAAAAAAAATTAAAAAAGCCAACCTGTTAGTTTATCAACTTGTTTTCAATTTTTTTAAAGTTACTCCAAAGAAACTTTAACCACAAACCACACAGCTGACAAATGGAGATCCAACACCAAATATACCGACCATTCTAATATTCATATTGCTGAGGCTGAATTAAGGTTAGCCTTAATTCAGCATTAGGGTGCTGCATTGAAAGGGGGAGTAATTAATGCAGAGCATCACTACTGAGCCTGATGTGTAGGTAATAAGCACTGCCAGAGACTACTGCCTCCACCTGCCTCTTCCTGTTGACACACATTTGTATGAGAGGACTGTCATTCAGCTCCTCGCTAGCAGTTTCTTTGTTCAGGGAAGAATTTGGAACAACCCAAATAGAGGGACAAGTAAAAAGCAGGGATATATTCTGGTGACCTTAAGCAGAAAGCAAAAGCATGTACACTTAAAGCACATCAACATTTTACATTGCAATTCTAACTATTAATGCACCTGAAGTAGATAAGTTCAAACAAGTGCTAGAGATACCTTAACATCCAAAGTCATTCCTGGAAACAGCTCTTGAGGAAATGATATAGAAAACTGTTCTTTGCCAGTGAGGCCCAAAACACTGGCATTTTCCCCAGAAAGGAACTGAAGTGGAGCTATGCCAATTCCAATCAAGTGACCTTTATGCATCTTCTCATAGCTTTCTGCTATCACAGCTTTAACACCCTGTAACATGTTAAGAAAGCCCACGTTTGTTTCTAATTTCATGAATATGGTCTCAATAAAGTGAAGGGTAATGCATGCTACTATTACAATAAGCACCAAATATTGTTCTGATCAGTGATGCTCAGACATGCCTCTCTCTAAAGCCAGTGGAAGTCAGATTCACTGGAAAAGAAGGGACCTGACTTGTTTGGTCCTGCAGAGGTAACAAACGTGCTACAGTACCAAGAATAAGTTGATTCTACAAGCAAATGAATGAATAGACACAAGAATCAAACTGTACAGTAGCAGCAAAGATATATTTGGACACTTCCTTTTCAGAACATCACTTTAATCTAAATTTAAGAAAAAAAGTGTAATTAGCACAGAGAACCCCAACATGCTGGAGCTGCTTATGATATAAAGAACGCATAACAATAACTGGCTGGCTCAGAGTTTCTAAGTGGTGTGCTTGGAGTCCCCACTGACAGCAGATACAGCACACATGGACTGGAGCTAGACAAACACTGGGGATGTATCCCCATTAAATTCAGGATAAGGGATTCTTCATTTCTGGGTCAATCCTGGTAAGTGATATTTAAATTTCAAATATCAATCCTAATAACCAACTAATTTCGTCTATGCACATTCTAGTGGAGATGAACTACACATTACAGATCTTAAAAGTACAATATAAATTGCCAATATTTAAAACTTAACAGACTGCCTTTAAGTGAGTCAGTGCCTTAAACTAAAGGACATTTGAAAATAATATTAGCAGAACAGTACCAGTAAAAAAGGCCCTTTTGCAACCCAATCTCTTGAGCTACCCAAACCATACTTCTTCCCTGCCAAAATAATCACAGGAATGCCTTCCTTTTGGTACAACTCTGCTGCTTCAAACACATCTAGCTGCAAAAAGAAAAAGAAGAGAGAAAATAAAAACATTCGAGTAAGGTTCCACTTTTATTTTTAAACAGCTGTGGATTAGTCATTTGAAAAAATATATCCTCACCGTTTGTCCTGATGGAAAATGAATTGTTTTGGGGGCTGGTTTTCCTATGAATTTGTTTAAAAGCTTGATATTTGCAAAGGTACCTCTGGTCATCACAGCATCGTTACCTCTTCGAGCTCCATAAGAATTGAATTCACGAGGTGTGAGGCTACAAGTAAAGAGTAGCGCATATTCAGCAGAAACACCTAGCAATACTGATGGAAAACATCATATTTATTTATTTTACAAGAGTGTTAAGTGGTATGAAACTTAGCTAACTAACATTACAACCACCACTCCAACCTCACTTAAGTGGCTTTTGGGTGACAAAATCTAGAGGTTTAATCTTGTAATGAATGCAACTAAGCACTCTATAACAAAAATTAGAACTTGCAAATATTGTCAGATCCCTCAGTCTTGCATGTCAGATAGCAGAGCTGGTTGCCATCTTCTTGCTTCTTCACAGTACCATTAACTTAGACCAATGGAGATAGTTGTGAGCAAAGAGCACAAACTAGAGGCCATTCATTTTAATACCATTTTTGCTGGTATAGTGTAGCAGCTATGTAAAAACAAAACCAAATGGACAGTCTGATTCTGTGAGGTGCTGACTGCTTTCAATGGAGGCTGCAGGCATTTTACATCTCACCAATGATGCCAAAACAAGTCAACATAAAACCTTCACCCAAGTTCAATTTTTCCCACTGTATTTTATACCCATCAAGCAAAATTAGAACATTTTTTTTAATGTAACAATCAATGAAGAAGAAACATCATCAGCAAAATGGCAGTGCCATCTGCTTTGTAAATAAATTTGTCTAAGTTTTGGCATACTATTTGGCTGCGGACTTCATTCCATTACAAAGGCCTATCCCATTAAAACAGTGTTTTATGGTATAGGTCAAACATTCACTGCAATCCAAAGACAAAAAAAAGATTTAAAAGGGCATCGCATTGCTGATCGTCAGCTACTCTCAACCAGTACCACACATTACACTCTAACCAAGACATGTACTATTCACTTCTAATAATGAATGGCCTTTACTAGAGGCGCACCGATACATCGGTCCGTATCGGATCAGCACTCAAAAAAGGAAAACTGACATAATCAGCAATCAGCCTTTTTTGGCTGATGTGTCTGATAAGGTCGCCAACAAATGCAGCATGCATGTGCGCAGCAACAGCATGCGTAGTCAGGAGTGCAGCCCAGCAGCATAGAGAGCAGCATCCGGCTAGTAAGTCTGTGGGGGGAAGGGGGTGTAGATCGAGGCCCCTGTTGTGAGGGAGAGAGTGGGGCTGGGGCAGGCGCTGCATGGTAGGGCTGTGCAAAGCTTTGGCTGCCAATTCAATTCGGTGGAGATTCGGCTGCCGAATCTCCAAATTGAATTAGGAGACCCATTAATCTCTCCAAATTGAATTGGAGGCTTCCAATTCGATTCTGAGAGATTCAGAAAGATTTGATAATTTGGACATAGACACAGCTTTGTGTGTTTTTTTCTACATGCCTCAAGGCATCAGGCGGCTTGTGAATGCTTAGATGGAGGGTCCCACAGCATGCTCAGCAGCAGACCCGGAAATGGACTAGAAGCACTTCCAGTCCACTTCCAGGTCTGCCACAGAGTGCATGAGGAACCCCCCCCTCGGCAACTGGTGCCTCCTGGGTCTGCCAAAGTCCTCTTGTGGCAGCTCCCTGAGGTGGGGGGGCGTGAGGTGGACCCAGAACTGGACCAGAAATACTTCCAGGTCCACTTCCAGGTCTGCCGCTGAGCACGCGGGGGGCCCCCTCTGTGCTCTTGTGGGACACTCCATCTGCACCACCATCTCAGCATTCACGAGCCGCACCTCGTACCAAGGTACATAGAAAAATCATTTAAAGCTGTCTATAGCCAAATCGCTGATTCTCTGAATCAGAATCGAATCTTCAGATTCAGCTGAATCAAAATCAGGACAGTGATCCAAATCATCAAATCAAATCACTATCCCCTGAACTGAACACGGCCCACTTTTGCACACTGCTACTGCACACCTAGCGCAAGGCGTGGGGCAGAGCCAGTGGTTTGTCCAGGGGGTTGAGGAGGGATGGGGTGCAAGATGGAGCTGCAGCTTGTCCGGCGGGTGAAGGGGGGGGTAGCTCCCACCAATACACACACCTGTGGGGGAAGCATGGGGGCACGTGACACCTGATCTGTGGGCAGCGTGAAGACGGGCTGCCTGCTGTGCTTGGGGCTGGCGCCAGCTTCTTCCACATGGTTGTGCTTGGGTTGGATGGGGCAGGGCAGGCGGTGGTAGTGCTGGGAGAAGGTTTATGGGGGCTAAGGTGAATTCTGGGGTGACCATAGCCCCCTTCCAAACCCTCTTTCAGTACCACCGCTGCCTGCCCCACCCGACCCAAGGGCAGCTGCCGAGGCTGGCACCAGCTCTGAGAATGCAGCAGCAGCCTGCCCTTGCCCTGCACGCAGATCTGGAGGGGGAGCACATGCTCCCCATGCCTCCCCTGGGGGTGCATGCAGCAGCACGAGCCACCTTATGCCTACGCCTCTCTCCCACCCTCCCAGACAATCCACCAACTGTCCCATACCCTGCCCCAGCTGTGCAGCACCTGCCCCTGCCACAGCTCCATCCCCACTCCCTCCTCCATTGCAGGGGCCTCGATCTGTGCCCCCAAACGACCATTCCCCCCAACAGACTTACCAGCCAAACGCTGCTCTCCAAGCTGCCAGGGTGCAGATTGGCAGTCAGACTGGTATCAGCTGATACGGCTGGTCAACAGTCAGCCATCAGTATTGGCCAAAAAAATTTTATTGGTGCACCGTGGGCTTTTACAGAGAAAAGCCACTTTCGACACTAAGTTTGGTAAATGAAACCCCCCACTGATACAGAAAATGTGAAACTTATTTGTTCAGCTTAATAAATGTTAAAACACATACCCTTTATTTGTCAGATATTTAGCAGCAGCACTACTCCTTGCAATGCTTCCCGCAGGTGATATGTGATCTGTAGTTACAGAATCTCCCAAATATAGCAAGACATGGGCTTTTTCAATCTGTTGTATTGAAACTGGTTCTTTGGCCTATTGGAATAAAATTGAAGACATTTTCCCCCACAATCCTTAGCTCAACACATTTAAACACATTCATCCATCACAAAAGAATTGTCAAACCATGGGCTCCAGTCAGTCCTGGAGATGATCACCACTTGGAGATCGTTAGAAATGCTTAATGATAAACAAGTGGATTTAGATAAGCACAACCAACCTTTTGCTGAAATACAGCTTTCCTTTTATGTTAGTATTCAAAAGATCAAAAGCTTGGGTAGAACTACTGTACTTACAAACTTATCAAAAAATGAAGGACATCTGATATAAGTAGACTTCAAATCCCATGGAAACAAAACTGACTCTGGTGCTTCCAGAAGGTTCCATCGCTTATCTCCTTTCTATAAACAGAACCATATTAACCAATATAGTAAAGAAATTGTAAAAAGATGATCATAAATCAGCTCTTATAGCACAAACCGTTATGGGTTTTTTTCTGTATTATAATATGGGGGATAACACCTTAAAAGTAGATGATTCAAGAATCTCAATCTAAGAGAACAATGATGCCCATATATTTATTACCTGGTATTTGTAACCTCCATAACAGTGACTAACAAGTGGTGTTTCAGCCAGAAGATATTATACAACTATAATTAAAATACTTTAGAAAACTATTTAAAATTGACAGGCTTCTTACCTTGATTTTTTCATTTAATTCTTTAAACATGGATGATATCACATACTCTTCTTCTACATGCTGAAGTTCTTCTCGAGTGGGCCAAATATCACGCAAGTAGATATTTTTGCCATTAGGGTCAACACCTATGTAAAAGATTTGGAGATTGGTATAACTAAGCAAATCCAAGTGATCTACTTCCAGGCTTTATTTAAAGATGCCACCAAAGAACCAGCCAACTGAACAGTTTATTTCTTCAAAACATGTTATTCTCTTTTCAGAAGTATAAAAATATATACTCTGTGCATACTCAGATGCTAGTTAAACAAAAGTGACTTCTTGAAAAACCGAGACGATTACATACATTTTTAACGTCTCTCATAGGATAAACTGTTTTTGTAAGACAGAAGAGATGACATGGTCCAAGACAGACCATCTCTTCAATAAAGGAAAAAAATTGCTGCCATTCAAAAGGTAGACATTTTAAACAGATTTTAAATGAAAGCAAGCCTGGCACTTCTGAAATATGAGATATAAAAAGGTTACCTAAAGGCTCAGTCTGGAAATCAATATTAACGGTGCCAGCTATTGCATAAGCAACTACTAATGGTGGAGAAGCAAGGTAGTTGGCACGGACACAATCGCAGAGACGGCCTTCAAAGTTTTTGGATCCAGACAAAACTCCACAAGCAATTAGGTCACCCTGAAAGGTAGAAACAACCATATTTCTATGTCCTCCCCCAAAACTTAAGGTGAATTAACAAGTTTATTAGTTTTGTTGCTCTTAAAGCTGCCTTTAGGTTTTTTTTCTTTTAAGTACATATGGTAGCATACTTAAGGCACTTTGCTCTCTCCTACCAACATTTTCATTCTTCCCCCTCTTCAATTCTATTCTTGGCTCCTTCCCACGAAGCCAGTTTGACCAATTCTCCCCTTTCCTACATCCTACGTTTTGTATCCAACCTTTCCTAGGTTAAGATGCTCAGAATCATGACTCCCCTGAATGATACAAACAACTTTAAGGATGGAACAGCTTTCAGCACGGAGATGACTAAAGGGATCCAACAAATAAGCTCTCTAAAGCCTGCTGTCTTCCATCACATGTGTAACAAGTTACACTGTGTCTATATCCTGATACACATACATGTGCTTAAACCTGCTACTGCACATACAGTAAGGGGGTATTAACTAGGGCTGTGCAAAGCTTTGGCTGCTGATTCAATTTGGCGGAGATTCGGGTCAATTTGGTGGCCGAATCTGAATCAAATCAGGAGACCCTTTAATCTCTTTGAATCTAATTGGAACCCTCTGAATTGATTCGAAGAGATTCAATAATTCAGACAGTCACAGGTTTAAATGTTTTTTCCACATACCTCAAGGTACCAGGTGGCTGGTGAATGCTGAGATGGTGGAACGGATGGAGCGTCCCACAGGAACACGGGGTGTGGTACCTAGTGTGCTCAGCAGCAGACCCAGAAGTGGACCAGAAGCACTTCCAGTCCAGTTCCAGGTCCACCAGGAAGCATGCAGGGGGGTGCCCCTGCACTCTCCTGGCTCGGCGACTGTGCTTCCTGGGTCCGGGTGGGGGGCATCTGGAGTGCCCCTGCGGCCGATCACTAAGCCGGGAAGGGTACAGGGGGGGCCCCCTGAGTGTCTTCCGGGAGACCCAGAAATGGAAGTACTTCCAGTCCACTTCCGGGTTTGCTGCCAAGCATGTGGGGACCCCCCCGTGCTCCCATGGGACGCTCCATCTGCCCCACCATTGCAGTGTTCACAAGCTGCGCCTGGTACTTCAAGGTATGTAGAAAAAACATTTAAAGCTGTGTCTACAGCTGAATCGATGATTCTCTGAATGGGGGACAGTGATCCGAATCAACAACTCAAACCATTGTCCCCGATTCAGGCCGAAGCCAAATCAAATACAGCCCGTTTCGCAAACCCCTAGTATTAACCACCAGAGAAATTTTGTATCACTTCAATGCTGACCCTTGCTTTACTAGTAATAGCAAACAAAGAGAAAAGTCAGGTTCATATATGGAAATTTCATGCAAAATAAGAATATACATATTTCACCCTATGACTGGAATTAGTGTAAAGTTGTATTTCCTATTTTTTTTAATTTCACACAGCAACATTAATTCTTTTCTGTACAAAAAAAACACACTTCAAAATGCACTGCAAAATTCCAGCCAAAGATACGCATATGGACTGCCAGACAATCAAATATCCAGGAAACATACAAATCTGCTGTATCATACAAGTACCATAAGAGACTTTCAGCTATACCTGCTTTATCGCATTTCGAATAGCTTCTGGCAAAGGGGCTGTGTTCCCAACACATGTTGAACATCCATACCCAACAACCTCAAATCTGTATGAAAAAATTGGATTAAGTAGCACATTATAGTGAAGCAGGCATTAACAGTCATATTTAGGCACTTTCTAGTATGTATACTAAAAAGGGAATGTAAGTGGCACCACATTACCTTTATTTTGTCCCAATGAAATATAAAAATTGCCAATCACTGAAGTGTCTCCTAATGTATTACCATTACTTAGTGAAATGTAAACAGGGTAAATATTCCTTGAGCCAAGCACAGCTAGGGTTGGTTTGTTTTTGTTTTTTTTTTTTTTAATAACATTCTAAAATTCTAAGTTAATATTGCAAAAGGCAAATCTAATCAGTTTTGCTACTCAATCAAAGCATGCAAGGTAGGGCTGTGCAAAGCTTTGGTCGCTGATTCGATTCGGAGGAGATTCAGCCCGCTTCAGCAGCTGAATCTCCAAATCCAAATTGAATCAGGAGACCCATTAATCTCTCCAAATCAAATCTGAAGCCTCTGAATCAATTCGGAAAGCTTCAATGATTCTGCCATAGACGCAGCTTTATATGTTTCTTCAACATACTTCAAGGTATGAGGCACGGCTTGTGAATGCTGAGATGGTGGGGCAAATGAAGCATTGGGAGGGGGGCCCTGCACACTCAGCGGTAGATCTGGAAGTGGACCAGAAGTAGTTCTGATCCACTTCTGGGTCTGCTGCAGAGCACACAGAGGACCCCCTCCCCCACCTCAGCAACTGATGCCTCCTACGTCTAGGGAGGCACCTGGGGTCCCCCCACGGCTGACTGCCAAGCCAGAGGGCTACTGGGGGGAGGGGGTTCCTGATACCAAGCACACAGGGGGCCCCCCCGCACTCCTGTGGGACGCTTCATCTGCCCCACTACCTCAGCATTCATGAGCTGCGCCTGGTACCTCGAGGTAAGTAGAAAAAAAACAAATAAAGCTGTGAATCAGAATCAAATCTTCAGATTTGGATTCAGCCGAATCAAAAAAAAAATCGGGACAATGATCTGAATCAGCAAACTGAATTGCTGTCCCCTGAATCAAGCTGAATCCAAATCAGAATTGAATATGACCCGCTTCACACACCCCTACTAAGGCACTTGGAGAAACAAGCCAAGGTATGGAGCCTGTCCTGAGTAATTTACAATCCAGTTCCTATCTCCTCACGTATAGAGAAGTTTGATAACAGGGCTCCACTCAAGCACAGGTGACCACCTGAACTTTGTACATCGCGTGACCAAGGGAGCCAAGATCATGATCCATCACTTCATTAGATACTTGAATTTAAGTAAATAAGTCATCCCACTGTCAATGAGATTATTTGTCTTTAAAGTTAAGCATCAAACTGAACAGAGTTCATTTTTATGGACTACATTTCTTTTCCATTTTTACATCAATATGAACAAAGGAGAAGGTGAAAATTACCCAAGTTTGCTAAGATATGGCAATACTCCACTTGAACTTAGGTAATGTGTAACCATTCCACTGCCTGGAGATAAACTTGTTCTTATATAAGGTTTAACCATGAGGTGGGCTTCAACAGCCTTTTTGGCCAATAGACCTAATGAAAAACAAACACACACACAATCAAATTAGAACTTTTGCAAAATTAGAGGAGCAACTGTCTAATTCTCAGCTAAAAGTTTGGAACTCTAGGACTTTCCTGAAGTGAACACTTGCAGGTTCAAGCCATTAGTCATGAAAACCATATAAACACCAGAAAACAGTAATAACACAAAGTTGGTTATCACCACTTACAACATACCTGCAGCAAGCATGACAGATGGATTGCAGTTATTTGTACAACTGATTACTGCAGCAATGACAATACATCCATGAGACAGTTTGTATTCATTTCCTTCATACTGAACAAGCACAACATCATTTTGTTTCTCAGCTGCGATCTGAAATCCTTTGAGGCCAGACTAGATGACAAAAATAGATAACAAGTCAAGTATAGGTAGGTCAACACTATAGAGTTAAACAAAAGTATCTCAACAGAGCATATTTATCTGAATTACCATTTAAGAATCATATGATCAGCAAGAGTGGAACTATATTTATCACATTAATAGACTGAAAACAGATTTTTTTTTTTTTTTTTTAGAACAATGCCTTCAAAAACAGATGCAAGGACTCAACCCTTTCACAGATAATTATGCACTCACATCTTTCTTAATAATTGCTGCTTATTACTTTGCATGCGTCTCAAAAGTAGGACCAAACTCCTAGACGAGTCCTCCTCGTTTGAGGTTGAGCATCTTATTTAAACAGCACACAGTAGAAGCAGCAAGTACATATCTTACAAGACTTGAAATGTATCACAAGGCAAGTTTCAAACTATTTCATGTCATCTGTAACTGATCCATTAAAAGCAACAACTTGGGCAGCATACATAAGTATTCCATTTACCATATCTAATCGCATACAATTAATAAGCACTATTTTTAAAACCATCTGAAATGTAACAAAAAGTGGGAGTCAATCTCAACAGAAAGCTGTTTTACCAGAAATCTTGACAGAAATCTGGAGAATTCAGATAAATGGGACGTGGGTCCCTCCTAAAATCCTCAGGACTTCCAGACATTTTCCCCACCTCAGTCCCCTACAATGAAATATCTGCGTCACTTTTTTTCTCCCAAGTACAACAAGGCCTCCACCACTGACTGCTTGCACTGCAGCCCTTTTGTTAGTTTAATCAGACAGTTTAAAATTCTCTATTACAGACAGCCAGATGAAAGCATTTACCTTCCCACAAGAACTGAAGTTTCAATTCAAATAATGAGACTGATTTGGAAGAATTTTAAACTTATTCTTAAGCATTCGCATTCTACAGCAATTTTACCCCAATTTTGTTTTCAGTTAGAACATTTCAAAAATCTGCATAAGAACCAACCAGAAATGAAAAGTTACTTGAATAAACTGTAAATATTTGGGATACCTTACTGCTCAGTTTTTAACTTCTCTGTCCAGCAGACTCTTATGTCCATAATGCAAATTAAGACATTCTGGAAATTTCTAGAGGTGCACCGATAGATTTTAGGGGCTGATACTGATGGCCTATATTTAAGGAGGCATATTGGTCAATATCTGATACAGCTGCCATCAGGTGGTAAATCCAGTGTGGTGGAAGGGTGGGGGGGACAGGACAGGACAGGGCGTGTGGAGTGGGGGCAGCTCCTGCCACTGCTTGCACCCCAGGAGGGCAGAGGGAAGGGGGCATATGCCCCCAGATCTGTGCTGGGCAGGCAGCAGTTGTGGTGTGGAGCTGGTGCTGCGCAGGGCTTTTCTTGCTGTGGGCTGGGCTCAGAAGGAGCTCTGGCAGCACTGGGAGGAGGCTGCAACCACTCCAAATTTCGCCACAGCTCCGCTTCCAGCCCTGCGCCACTGCCCAGCACAGCCCCAGCTGAACACCCCACCTCCACCCATGCACCAGGAAAAGCTGAGGCGGCGTAGGGCTGGGAATGGAGCTGCAGCAAAGTTTGGGGTGGCTGCAGCCCCCTCCCAGTGCCACCGGAGCTTGCTCCAAGCCCAGCCACTGGCAAGGAAAGCCCCGTGCAGCCCCAGCTCCAGCTCCACCCCACAGCCTGCCCTAGGCAGATCTGGGGGCACCCCCTGGGATGCAAGCAGCAATCGGAGCTGCCCCCATCGCAGGGGCCTTGCTCTGCCCCCCACACCCTTTCCATCCTCCCTCCCCTTCCGACTTACCAGCTGGAGGCAGCTCTCCACACTGCCAGCTCTGTTCCATGCTGTGCTGCAGCTGCGCGCAGCACGGGCATTTATTGGTCAAATTATGGGCCCCATTGGGCTGACATCAGATACAGACAATTTTCTTCATACTGGACTGATCTGGAATAATGTATCAGTGCACCTCTAGAAATTTCCAAAGATTTTTTTACTGTTTAAGACTAGTTATAGTCCTGTAATCTCTCACATGCAAAACTAAAGAGGCAACTGGCAGAGAGACCATGAATGTGATCTTGTAAAATAAATCCTGATATTGAGTAGTGTCATTATATACAGTGTTCAGTGTGAATGCCAAGATTTACAAAACATTTCACCCCAAGTACTAAAAGCAACTTTCATAAAGTAATATAAATCATACATACCTTTTCATTTAAGCAGGCTTGGAAATCACTTTTCATATCTGTAACAGCCACTCTATCTTGTGACCTCTTTGGGCCACTGACACATGGAATTATAGAGCTTAGATTTACTTGAATTGTCTAGAGAGGAAAAAAAAAGATGCATTAGGAATCATTGTTATATTTAGAAAGACAAATTTAAGCATAATTTTTAGTAACTGCACCCATTTTCTTAGAAATCTAAGAGTTAAGTTTTTCATAAAAATAGGAGCCTTACCAGAAGAGAGAAAAAAGACGAAGTGCAACCACAAAGTAATTACCAAATGATGAACTTTGACACTACCAAACTCCTGCTCATCCTAACATGTGACCTACCTACTTATCCGAAAGAGTGAAATGTAAAGAGATTCTGCCTTTGCTAATTCATATACTGTATAAATATGCATTTTACAAAATATTTACCTACCCAAGGCTACAAATTAGGCTATTCAGGCATAAATGTCTGTTAAAAGCTACCAACCATTATAACAGAATAAAAATTATGAATAAGTGATACTGCTAATAAGGACCGTAATATTGCAAAAATAAAAGTCATTCTGAAAATACCTGGGAATACTCTGGTTCTCCTGATGAAATCTGCTCATTTCTAAACAACTTCACAGCTTTAAGATATGCTTCCATAGACGCAAGCCCAGCGTTGCCAAAACCTTAGGAAAACATTTCCAGACATGAAAACAGTAGGAAAACAGTACAATGGATTTATAACTAGTGTAATGAATTGCCAGCACCGTAACAAATTTACGCCGAGTATGCACCATGTCACAGATTCCAGGAACAAGAAATCTTGAAATGCATGACATTTCTGACTTTGCACTTTGATTGATGTGCCAAACAACAGTCTTCTTGCCATGAATCTGCACTAGGCACATCCATGCCTTGGTTCTACTGGTAGTTTGACAAACTCTCAAAATCTAAAAAGACAACTCTAAAGTAAAATACAGCAATCCTTACAATGTGGACTAAAAACACCACACAAACTAAACGCTTACTCATAAAGAATATGAACTATCACTTTATAATTAAGAATCTCTTTTCATTTTAATTTGATTACTGAAATCTAAGATGAACCTCAGATTACTTGAGACAGAAAACATGTCATACAGCTGATTTTACTTTTTATTACAAGACAGCCTGTGTGGAGGGTCATCAGAAAAAAAAGTCCCCGTAACACTTAGACAAGTAGTGAAATCACATATTTTAATTGCATAAAAAATGAAAATGAAAAAAAAATTTAAATCAGTGGCCAACACCCAAAAAGCCGCGCAAAGTAGGCCTGTGCAAAGCGGCCTTGCATTTTCTTTGGATTCAGCCAATTCAGGGGACAGCGATTCAATTTGGTGATCTGAGTCACTGTCCTGAATCAATTCAGCCGAATCACGCAGGCCCATCCCCCACCCACTCTCCCAGCCCCAACCGCCCAAGTTCCCGACACTTTGGAAAAAAAAATCCTGACTTACCGGGTGCTTGCTGGGTGGGGGAGCAATCCCCACTGCCCTGCACTGTGTGAGGAGCTCTGCCACGAGCACCTGACCCCCTCCCGCTGTCCCAGCACTCCCACCGCCATAGGTGCCCCACCCACCCCAGCTGCGACCCTTTAAGGAAAAATAAAACAAAAAAAAACCCTGCACTCACTGGTTCCTGCCCAGGAGTGGGGGGAGGGGGGCAGCACAGGGGGCAATCCCAGCTGCTCCTCACTGCCCTGCACTGTATGGGGGGCTCTGCAAGAGCCCTCCAAATCCACAAGGCCACTGCAGGAGCTGGTTAGTGGGATTTGTTTTTTTGTTTTTTTTTGGTTTTTTTTGGGGGGGGGGGGGA